AGATGAATCACCACCTTCAAATGCCTATTTCTCTTCATTAACTCTAAAGGAAACCTAGAGTTCCTGTTTCAGACTCTAAAGTTGAATTAAATGAACCTCATGTTTTGTGTCCAGTTTTCCAAATATTTTCTGTAATTCTGTGATTTGTATCCTATTGTGCTTGTCTAAACTTGCAAATAGTAATAAAATCTCTTCTGTGATTAATAACTGACATACACAGTTTAAAAACTGACCAGCATGTGAGAGAAGCCATCAAGGTAGTAGAGCATTTCATTGAATTATTTTTAAAAAATGCCTTTGAAGGAAAAAAATGTGGCTAGCTTATAAAATCTTTAGTAAACAGAGAAAGTAATATTGAGTATCATATACTCAGCTTTACTGTACACTTTTATCCACACAGGATGGTTGCATCTGAGTAAAGTGATTTCTGTAGCTAGATCTGTTTTTGTAAAACACAGAAATGTAGGTGCTATTTAAATGGAAAATACCGTTGTAACGACTGGTGTATCTGTATTGTGTAAGCTCTGTTTCTAATCTGTATTTGAAGTTTTGTGTGCTGCTTATCTTCAGATCCAGGTTGATGTTAAAGCATGTTCCTTTGTTGTTTGAGAATATTTTGTTTTCATCCAAAAAAAATTTGCAATCAGTCTAATTAAATGAATCAGAGCTTTCTCGCATTTTCTCAGTGCCTAGCCAGGCTATATAAACGCTATCATAATATCCTAACCTGGGGGTGTTTTATCTAGGGAGTTATATTTATCCCGATGTTGCCATTTGGAGGAAAATGATGCTGAAAGAGGCAAATGGTCCCAGCTGATTTTGTTTGCCGGTATATTTGCCATACCAGGTCAAAGCCAATGCACTGCTTCTGTATGTATGTCCAAACTACTAGCTGAAGCAAGATGCCAAGAGACATTGTAAACTTGCCAAGTCCTTGACATAAGTTTTCTAGCTACTTGCTGCTCTAATCTGGCTGCATATCAGCATAAGGGTAACTATAACATAATTCGGAGGAGTATGACGCTTGGTCAGTGGAGAGGATGGCTACGGTCTCAGTTCTGGACGTGTCTCATCCATCCAAATGAGATGAAGGAGAGCATGGTCTCACATTGAGGTATTTCAGGGCTTGAGCTTTCCCTCTGAAGCACCCTAGAGCTCAGACTTGATCCAACTGTGAGCACCTGCTAGCCTGTGAGCAGGATAGCTGCATCTGATTGCAAAACGAGCCATGACTCACACTTAATTGCCACTGTAGGCATAATCAATATGGCTTTAATCCTGGGAGATAATAATGTGGTTCCTACAATGGTGGCCTTAGGAATCTCATATCCTGATTTCTTAGCCACCCATAATACAGTAGTGGGGAAAACCACAGCAAAGAGAAAGGAATGCAATTTTGCAGTCGCAGAGAAAAACTGTTTCTCTGTTTTTCACTCTGTTCTCTGAGTTGCTAATTCTACCTTGTTACTCATTGTGCCTCTACTACAAAACTTGGTTGGCAACATTTAGAACTAGATTCCTTGCAGCTGTAAATAGTACCAACCTTGTTAATGTACATGACAGAAAATTGCTGCAAGGTGAGATCTGACCAAACAGAAAAGGATTTGTTGAGGAGAAGGTGTGTGTGTGCTGGAGGGGGCCATGGTCAGATATCACATAGAGTGAATGCTAATGGTGGAGAGTCCCAGGAATCTGCTTTTTCACAAGCAACAAGAAAAATATGTATGGACCTATGTTTTGAAAATAAAGTCTCATTCATCATAAGTTATGACCACAAAACTTCACTTCTAGAAAGGATAAAGCCTAGGAACTGCCACTGTAACATCCAATTGAAAAGAGAGAGCATCAGCCTATTGTTCCTTCACCTCACAATCGGCTTGTAAATACAAGTACACCATCTTTTACCTTAGTAAGTGCAGAGAAAGCTTTTGTTCTGGGTGTCTCCTAAGATAATCACTTCTAATAAGCCCCTTAATAAGTACTTTTCCATCTCTCTCACCATATCTAGTGGTGGAAGAGACTTCTTGGTTTTAAATGAAAAAGGTGAAAGATGTATTTGGTTATATACATTTACGCACACACACAAACATATATGTATTTCCATATGTATATACATACGATGTGAAATTAATCCCTGACTTAGGCAAAGCCCCGTGCATCACCTCAGTCCTGATGGACAAAGGATCATGTGCTGGAGAGTATCTTAACTTCCCCTGCACTGGCCTAACCCTGCAAAAACTGTAACGTAAGGTAGTGATGTAGGGCTCAGGGGAGATCAAACTATATGATTCTAGTGATTGCAGCATTTCTTTCAAGTGGTAGCTTTTCCCCTGCTGTGTGTGTACAGGTAATAACCTCTTCTCATCACTGACGCATTTCTAGAATTTCCCACCTAACAGCTCAAAGTAGTCCAAAATTGGAATTGTTCTGCAAGCTTTAAGGATGCAAAGAAAGGATAAGGTGCATAGTTGAAATAAAAGGGAGTATGCTGGTTTGGGGACTTTGAGTACGAATTTGCTTAATTTTATGAACTTTTTGTAGATTTGAATTAACTGGCTGTACTATCTTCTTACCTTGTATTCCCTCTGTCACAGAGCTATAGCCAGCCAAGTGTCTAACCTTTGGTAGAATTGTTGCTAGAACTACTAACATCTGAATAAATGTTGCTCGTTCCAAAGAATGGGATGGCTACATCCCAGGTAACGGGCCCCTTTTCTCCAGTTTGGTAGCAGATAGGTATGGATAAAATATTTTCAGAATGGAACAAAAGTGGAGGCATTTCATAACAGGAACCAAAGATGTCCTGACTAAGCAAAGGCTTCAGGGCCAGCCACCAGACCGGAATCTAGTTATGCATGAATGTAGCATGATCCAGAGGAGAAAGCATGATCAAAGAGTGATACTTTTGGGTGTGATCCTATAGCCCAGAAAGAAGTCCCAGTTCCTGAGGAATGGATGTGGTAACCGGGGCACACTGTCATTGTGGCTTTGCCCAGGTGCTGACCTCTCCGGTCCTGTTGGAAGTAAAGTGTGATTAAATTAGAAACTTCTTTTGTGATGTCGGTGTCTATTTTTTCCATGAAATATAAATACACATGGACCAGGATACCAGGAGATCAGGATGAAATAGGTCTGTGGGCTATGACCCTGCCCGTTTCAGAAGGGGTAATGGAGAGAGGGAATAGCTAGAGACTTCCCAGAGCCATGGGGAGGGTTACGGGCTCATCACCCCTTTAGATGCTTTGTGCAACCTTATCCACTTCAAGAAAGACCAGATTACAGCTCATTTGTCAAGGTTAGCAGAGGTTTAGTTAACAGGAAATGACTAAAATATGTGCAACCAGTACCGTACTACTCAAATGATTACCCTATCAGCCAGCAGGTCCCTTGGTCAAAGGACCAAATGGCCAAAGTCACCCTTTTCTTGGATGGCTAGCGACTAAGGGACTTTTGTCTTGTAGGCGCTGTCTTTGTAAGGCTGAACTCAAAGGTCTTAGCTAATACTTCTTCATTTATGAGCCATATAATCACATATGTGGACACATATGCTGATCCTTTTAGTGGTGGAATAGCTGATGTGTTTGCTAATACCGCTCTGTATATGATTAAACATAAGCTGTAGCAATCTAGCCACTAATCTCAAGTGCTATTGAAAAGAAAAAAATGTTTTTGACACACTGATGGTCAGTACCAATACTTATACACCTTCCTGAATTTACATACATGTAATTTTTCCCATAACTTTTTTAACATTGGAATTGCAATGGCTCAAACACAAACATATGTGCCAGGCAGACCAAAGTGTAAGCTTGCATCAAGCATGTGTGGTCACACTCAGAAGCCAAGGGAACTGGCAGGCCTTGTCCTCACCCCTACTTCATTGGCAGTTGTGCACCAGGATGTGTCTGGGCTGCCTTCACAAGGCAGCATTTGTGAGTGATGTTGAGCTGCTGTTTATATCTATTAAAATAATGGATTTTTTTTTAAGATGTGGAAAAAAAAAATCTAAAAATGATTCCAGATCTCTTGTATGCATTATAAACAGGAATAAAAATGAATCCCAGTTGCTTAGGACTGGGAAGAGATACAAATTCATCCCCGGGGGACAAATTTAAGAAAACCCTACTTTTTATTTACATAGGTGAGATTTTACATGCAAGTCTTCCCTGCTTGTACTTGTACCCAAATGAGCAAATATTCAGGCAGAGCAAACAGATTTTGTGCTTGTGAATTATACTCATTGGGGAACAAAAAAAGAGCAAATAGAGATGATCTGTGAGGATAGGATTTATGTAAGCATTCAGAGAAATGAGGTGGAGGTCTGTTAATATTTATTTGCTGGTAGCTTCATGGTTTTTATTTTAGACTGAGAAATTGCTTAAGAATAAAAAGACAGTGCTCAGATATGAAGCTCTTGGTGTGACTATGACGCAGTGAAACTGATTGAAAAGGGTGGAAGGAAATCAGCCTGAATAATGCTGTGTTTTTCATGCTGTGGAGGCAAAAAGGACTTCCAGTGTAAAGCACAGCTCTACAAACATGTGGTTTCAATATTCTTATGGTATGTGGTGACCACTGCTCAGTAAAAGGAATTCAGCACTCCATTTCTTGCATACCGTCATGGGCTCTTCAGATAACACGAGTGGTTTTGCATACTCTGCAGTACTTAGAGAGGCACAAGGCAAAGTTGCTTGCAAACAACTCACATGAGTGGTGCAGATGAGTGCACACTGGTATCTCTCTGGGTTTTCTTTACAAATCCCCTGCAGGCAGAGTTTGCTCAACTAGTTGAACTGGCTCTTTCTGTCTTGTTTTTTTGGCAAACTAAGAATTTCCTTCCTGATAAAAACAGACAGCAGGCGTACTGATTGGGTGCAGTGTTGGAAAGGATATGACATCAGGCACGTCCCTTGCTTTGTACAGTGTGGTCTGCCTGATTGCTGGCTGCCTCCCAACTGAGTGAGGGAGGTGTTTCATTAAATCCTAACCCAGGTACTCGAGTTTCTGCATAAAGTGCTGCCGGCACCAAGTTCCAGTCTGCTGCAAGGTTTGTTTGACTTGCGCACACAGAGCCTGCTTAATAGATTACTCCCATAGGCAGGGGTTCATCGGGGAGGATGGAATTTGAACTCTCAAGAGCAACTGTGAAGTGAAAAAACAGAATTTGGACAGCCTAGGCTGAGATGGATGATGAGGGAACAAATCAAAACACCAGCAAATTGCCAGGAGCCGGAGGCCAGCCATCTGCAACTTCTCTAGCAAACCCACTGATGAGGGGTAAGTAACGCTCCTGCCTCTCCGCTAATCTTCTAGTCTGCCAGCAGAGGTGGAAGAGCAGTGGGTGGAGAGGGCAAAGTCAGGCTATAGCTGCGTGTTCCTCCTGATATCCTGTTAACAGTGCAGGTCCATGTACAGTACCACACGTCCCCATGTTCTTGTACTTCAGATAGGCTTCTTATATGCTATTCATATTTGTAACTGAATTTGTTTGTTTGTTTTTGTGCGTGACAGAAAAGAATATCTGATTCTATAGTGCAGCTTGTATAAGCGGAAATAAATGCAGTATGTAAACCACAACAAACTGAAAAAGAAGTTGCAATGTGGCATGTTTGGCTTAGATTAGTGCCAGCTGAAAGCTCAGCATTGGCTCAGTTCCTCTTTTCTCTTCTCCATTCCCTTTCCTTCCTTTCTCTTCTCTTCTTTTCCTTTCCCTTCTCTTCTTTTCCTTTCCCTTCTCTTCCTTTCCCTTCCCTTCCCTTCCCTTCCCTTCCCTTTCCTTCCCTTCCCTTCCCTTCCCTGCCCTGCCCTGCCCTGCCCTTCCTTTCCCTTTCCTTCCCCTCTCTTTTTTCTTCCTTTTCCTTTTCCTTTTCCTTTTCCTTTTCCTTTTCCTTTTCCTTTTCCTTTTCCTTTTCCTTTCTTTTCCTTTTCCTTTAGGTAGACATAAATATTCTTGCAAAGGCTGAGTCAGCACTAGTGGGTACTTCCACAATGGACAGGCCATTATTCATTTGTGGTCACTGGTGAATAGTTATTTAGACAAATGACCTCACACTGATCATTGCTCTTTTGTCTGGCCTGGAGCCTGTTAAAATATGACATGGTAACAAAGGATAAGTAATTAAATTTCACATAACAATTTAGCTAGATGTGTTCCCTGTAGCTCTCTTTTCTGAGAAGCTACTCCTTCAGTTCATGGTCAGTGCAGTAGAACAAGGAGGTAAATTAAGATAATATGACTTTACACTATTCTAACTCCTTTCCTGGGCTATTCATGACTCTTCCATTCATACCGAAAAGAAAAATAGGACCATAAAAGTAAGAAGAGGCAACCTACATTGCAAAGATGTTCAGTATGTCTGCTGTGCTGTCTGCTCTCCTCATGTGGGTGTATGTATGTATATGCGGGTGTGTGAGGCTAGGGTAGGAGGGAAAGGAGAGTGTCGTTGTTATTAACAACGTGAACCAAACCAGGTCTGCACTGGAAAGGAGCTTTGGCAAAATGGTGTCAGGCTTCGTGCAGCTGGATGAGAAGTAGGGGAGTCCTCCTGCACACTGAGGAGTTGGTCGTTTGAAAATAAGAGTTCAGCTCATACCTCTTGGATTTGCCTGGTCCTAAGCAGAGCCAATAAGCTTCTCTGGTGGCTTGCAATAGGAATGTATTTGGCTCTGGCTATATATATCACAAACTTCCTGTGAAAGCCTTTCAATATGAAAAATACCATTCAGAGTACTGTTAAATACAATGCCATAAGCATATGTGTTATGCAAATATGTGTACAAGAGTGTACTCCAGCTGAAAGGATTTCAAAGCCCCTTGGGAGTAGTACCATGTGGGACCACTGCTGAAGAAAATCAGTCAGGGAACAGGCACCCAGTGTGCAGCACCATCCAGGGGCTGGATCAGAGGCTGGAAAAAGATATTTTAAACCATCACCACAGAAATGAATGCTCTTCTAGAAAGGCACTGGGAACGCGCTGTCATCTACAGGGAGCAGTCAGGACTTGCATGTTTGTGTGGTTAACAATATAAGGCTCCCTCTGTATACACTGTTGGCATTCAAATGCCCAAGTGATGGCAGTGCAATCAAATATGATCCAAAGTTTAATATAACCCCTGGGCTGGCTGGGATTTTCAGCGGTGAAAAGGGAGTTAGATATCCCAATGCCACTGAATTTGGGCTTTTGGATTTTGGACTTCTAGATGCCGAGGACCCTGATGCCTAACTTAGCATGCCTGTGGACTAAGGTGCTGGCTAAATTTCAGTATTGGATAAACTGGCTTGTTCCTGTGTGAGAGAGCACTTGTACAAATTTTTGGCAAACAGAAATTCTTGTGGCTGTGGTGGTACATACATTGAACACCACCGTCCCACATATGTACACCAGCCTTGCTCCTTTGCAGGCAGCCCTCATGGGCAGAATATTCTGAGGACTTTTATGAAAATCACTATTTCATAGTATTAAAAGTCCACGGCCAGTTAGCTTTGGCATTCGCTTAGCTTTTACTCAGAAGCTTGTAAATGGCTTAAATACTAATCATTTGTATTTCTGATGGTGTACCTACTGTGCTGCACAGAAATAGGGGTAAGATCCCAACTTCCACTTGCAGTCTCTTTCTTTCAGGTAAGAAACGCAAATTCCAGAACAGAGCAGGGATAAAATGGAAACTTTGTGATTAACCTGAGAGTGATGCCCTGGGTGCAGGAACTGGGGAAAAATGCCGCCTTCTGGAGGAGGCTGCCTCCCTGGTGTCCCTTCAGGGAGGAGGGGTTTGCTGCAGATGGAGCTGGGGCAGGAGAGATGGCAGCTGAGGCCTGTACAGTTCATGGCTGCAGAGAATTGGAACTATGTGGTAGCAATGAGGATTACAAAAGCTACTATAATTACTAAAGGCGCCTTTATAACCTGCACCCCCTGCACCTCCCCCCAGCTCATTCATCTGTTCATTTCATACACTCACTACAGCCCATGAAGCTGTATCGGGGTTTTGTCTCTTCCACCCTTTGGCCCTTCTAAATTTCAGGCTTCTCCCAAACCTCAATCACATCTGAGTTGATGAATCTTTCTGTGAATTTTCAGTTGCTCCTCAGTCCCCTATTTTGCTTCCCTTTGACTTTCATAGTCATAGGAGTGCAAGACTGGAAAAGACAACCTGCCTCATAGAGTTCACTCTCATTAGCTATTTCTATACTGCTAAATGAAAGAGACCGGAACTATTCCTGTTATTGACACCAGATGGTGTAGATTGACTTACCCTCACATCCTCGCTTGCTTAAGGCTTGTCCCCTTGAAAGCAAGCTGGCCACATCCACACTGTGGGCCTCACTTGATTACCCTGAGACATCCTTTTTATTTTATATATATATTTCCTTTTCAAAGTCTGTGAAATAATGAGGGCCATGTTACAGCTCAGCAAAGTGATATTTTCATAGCATAAAACTGAGGGGATGCATTACATGACTTTGTGGCAGGAAGGATGTTTGCGTGTACAAAGCCTGTTAGGACAGCATTGTGGAGGGAGGCTTGTGTAAGGTGAAGGGGCCCAACCTGGTGCAGCTTCGTCCATGAGCCCCTTTGGGAGTCTTCTTTGATAAGAAGTATTTCCCTGAGCTGTTCCCTGTATTATTTTGGAGTCAGCTGGAGCAAGTCAGGATAAGATGGGAAGCAAGCTCACAGTTAAGCATGTGGATGAGAAGCAGCTCAGTGCTAATTATCTTCCTGGCCCTCTTTATTTGGTAGCACAGATTTGCCTGCTAAGTCTGAATAGTCTCTCACAGTCACATACAGCAGTGGAATAGACGGCTGATTTCAAAGTGTCCACAAAACATCTAATCTGCAGGTCGCAGTCAACTGGTCACCAAACATTTTGTCAGTTCCCTGACAACAAACTTATGACCTACAGAAAAAAACTGGAGTCCACAGCTATGCTGAATGCATGCGAAGAGCAGGAAAAGGTGCTATAAGAGGAATTGATTAAATAAGACCTTGGGGTGAGGGCAGGAAAGCGACTGTGCCCATGCTCAGAGGAGTATGGGCACAACCCCTATGTCTGATGGTCCTCCTTGGTCTGCTCTTGGAGGTATGTTTCCTTCAGCTTTCAGAGCTGGTAGTCATTTTAACTGTACCCATGAGCAGGAAATACTGACCAGGGAAAAGGACCTCAGCCACTGGGTCTGCATCCTGTCTCCAGCCATGCTCAGTCTCCAGTGAACACAAAATAAAGCTTCTTTCTGGCCCCAAGGGGCATCCAGTGGTAACTTCGATTGTGCGGACGTAAGCCTATCATAAAACAAGGAATCCAGTCTTTTTTCAAACCCTCCTCCTTTCCCTTCCCTTAAGTATGTAGAAGTCACAACCAGAGACAAGGCAATGAGGAGAAAGAGTGAAAATCCTGAATCAGTTGCTTCTCTGACCATCGCTGATGACATTCCTTTCCTAAAGGCCTCATTCTGCCCACAACCCACCCCCACCTCAGGCTTCAAACCTACCCTGAGGTACTCTCCTTTGGGGAATATTTCCAGGATGTCACTGGGATTGCCGTGTGAGCCAGGAGCATGATGGACCATAAGCAGGGAAGGATGGTTATCTTGAGAGAAGATGAAATCTTGATGTTCCTCAAGTTTGTTTGTTTTTTTAATTACTTCATTTGCATAAGAAGCACCACAGGAATCAGTCTGGTTCCCTCTTGTGATATATGTGTGACTACTAGCTTTCTGAATAGCTGCTTCTTGCCATGACCCACTATTTGATGTCTGAGAAGGGAAACACTAAAATCTTCTTGAGTCTTGTCCTTCAATAAGCCATTGTTCAGAGACAATAATACCTCTATCAGCAGAGTATGCTATGCAGATAAGCATTTTGGGGAACATCTAGTGGCTTAAAAATGGTGTACCGGAGCAGCAGCAATATCCTTTGGCCTATATGGATTACTCTAGAAGAATATACTCTACAGGCATAAAGGACTCTTGCAAGAGTAATTAAATGTATACCAGGCCTTTTGCAACCTCATAGAGGTCTAGCTGATGGAAACCTTAGCAACTTGCCCAAGCTGCTATTTGGGGTTTTCTTTTTACTTAATGGAAGGAAAGAGGGATAGCTGCAGTGGGCAGCTCAGTGTGTTTCTAAAAGAAGCTGCATGAAACACCCTCCAGAAATGCTTCTTTTCCTTCGCAGGGGGAACCTGGGTCATTAACTTAGACTAGACACTGAGTTTTGAGGCAATGACTACTGAAGATGGCGAATATCTCCCAGAGGAATTAGTGCTGTCAGCTGGCCCTGAGCTGTGAAATCTGTAATACCAAAGGTCCTCTTAGTATTGCTGAAATTTGGACGGTCCCTAGCTAGGGTCCTTAGCTAGCACCAAGCTAGGTTGATTCACTATATTAAGGTAATGAACAAATACAGCAGCTAGAGAAATGAAATATAAAAGTCATCAGCAGCTATGTATTTCTTCGGACCATTATGTTATGCAGCGTAACAGAGGAAAAGTAGGTATGCCTTGTGAAATGTATCAAATCATTCTTTTGCCTGGCAACCCCCAAAAAAGATCTTTCAAAAAAACACCCTATATGATTTGACAGGTTTGATGCCAAATTTGACCCTAAGGATTCCCTCCCTTGCCTCCATGATCCAACCAGAACTATGCTGACACGTTTCCCGTAATTGTTTTTGGTGTGTGGTACTTTTCTGAACACCAAGTTTTAAATCTCAAGATTACTTGGAAACAGCAGTTAAAAGCCTGTCTCTGATGTTTCATACTTCCTACATAATCTGGCAAGGTTACCTTTCTATGAGCACTGGAAATATCAATGTGTTTATCTTAGCGGTAGGAATAGTTTCTTTACGATGTACTTGGGTAAAATTTCACCCCTCCGGGCCCTGTCCCTCGGGCTACGGGAGTCGCAGCCCAGGTATCCTCTCCTCTGTCGGCAGGGTGCTAGGGAGGGGGCTCTCGCCTTCGAGGAGGAGACTTGCTTGCTTCAGGGTGTGAGAGCCAGGGCCTTTGCCGGTCCCGGGTACCGTTCCTTCAACATTTTATGTAAACCTCAGCGGGCCGCTTGTTATAGCTTGTCTTGCCTTGCTCCCGCAAAGGAAAGCAGTAAGAAATCAGGCACTTCACATAACCTTTGGGGGAAAGCCTCTGTCTCTTGTAAAAAAGCTTTCTGGAAATGTGCCCTTTTTTTTTCCCCCACCAAGACCACTTCAGCTCATCCCGAGTGCTTTCCTTCCCCCGCTAACGTTTAAGTAGAAAAACAAAAAGCAAAGGCACACCCTGCTCCTGAGCCTCCCTCTGTATGTGCTGTATCCTCCTTCATGCTTTCCAGGGTTCAGAGAACACAGCTGTTACTTAACTGCCTCTGCATTGGCTAACACCAAACACTGAAAACTGAGAGACAAAATCAACCCGTAACACAGTTTATCTCCTTGTACTTTGGTACCCTTCACAGTTAACTGTTGCTTCTAGCCCATCTCTGAGTTGGGGTAAATGATTTAGCAGCTGTAGCCTTTTCAAAACATTCATTTTGGGCTAATTGGTAAAGCGTAATGAGCTTGTGAAAACAAAGACTCTAGAAATAACTCAAAGCAGGGGACAAGCTCAGTCAGAGCAAGGTGATGCTTTGTAAATTGCTTTGTTGTCTTCTTAATGGAACGTAGGTGTTTAGTCCTAAGAGGATGAATTAAAAATACACCCATAGAGAGGTTATGCTTTTTTTCACCACTGCCTCCTGGTGGCTGCTCCAAGAAAAGCTTGGTAGTTCAAGGAATAAATTCGAAGAGAGATTTCCTGAGGGCACTCAGCTGAAGTGAAGTACTCTAGTGAAATAGTCCATGGAATTGTTAGCCTTTTTCCTGTCTTTCTCTTTATACAGACTTTGTTTCAGACTGGTCTCCTTTACATGATGCCTCTGTCCATGGGCGTCTGCTTACTCTGAAGAAACTCATCAACCAGGTATCCCTTTGCTAGGTTGATATGATCTCTGCTGAATTTATTCAGCTGTTGAGTGCAGGCTGTGTTTTAGTGTGAAACATCCAGGGTGAGTAAATCTTTTTGACCTGATGGGGCAGAAGGCAGTGAAATCTGCTCTTAACAGAGGTTTTTTTCTGCAAACTTAGCATAAGCCCCGTGCACTAAACTGAAGACCTACAGAAATATCCTGGGTCATACTTTAATTCTCATGCAGACAATGGGACCCCAGTCACTGCCTCTCCTGCTGGCCGCCTGGACTTCTTCTGCAGCTCCCATGTCTTCCAACAATGTTTGGTGTCCGTGGTGGGGCTCAGCTCCACGTCTACACGCCCATGCCTGAGGCTTCGATTCAGTCACCCACACATCCATGCATGGTGCCATCTGAAGTGCCCGAGAGTGTACTGGGCCCCAGCTGGACCTGCAGAAGGGAATGGCCTGGGAGAAGTGATTTCTAAACCTCACTGCTCTGATTCTTTGAAATTCTCAAATTGGATTCTCAGTCTTGTGGAGAAGTTGACAGAAAGGGAAGAGTTAATGAAAAATCTTCCAGCCTAAACTTCTGGAAGGCCAAGATTACTAGAAAGAAAAAAAACTGTGCTAGAATCGAATAAAGTATTTCTAATGCAGAGACTGACTTTCCTTCAAAATGTGCTGAACAGTGAAAATTGGAAAACACGTCAAATCCATTTCAAAATTCTTTCCAGTAAAATAATCGCAAACTTGCTAGGCAGGAGGTCAGAAGGCATAAGTGGTGATGTAAGTAGGTGGCAGTCACGATTGTACAAAGAATACAAATAACTTTTTTTTTATTTCAGAGTTTGAAAAGAAAGCTGAGTGCCTAGAATGATGTCTGTAGTATCCCACTTGGCATTAAGCATTAGGCAGAAAGCCTAAAACTTTCTATTTTGATTAGTAGTGCGTAGTAGGCATAGCCTCTAATATGCTGCATACAGTATCCATTCCAGACAAAGCATCATAGCCTCTTTCTTTACTTACCTATTGAGGTAACATGAATTAACTGCAGGCAGTTGAGAAGGCGAGATTACACAAATGTTGAAGGATAATTATATAAAGCTTTTTTTTCTTTTAGGGGGGTTTTCTGCAATGATATTTTCTATTATTTCATCAGGGGAGCAATGTTAATCTACTTACAGCAGACCAGGTCTCCCCTCTCCATGAAGCCTGCCTAGGAGGTCATGCTGCTTGTGCCAGTGTCTTATTAAAGCATGGTGCTCAGGTAATTACATGATGGACAAGCCATCCAGTTTTGATCTGTTTTATTATCACACTTTAATGCTAGATGATATACTATTTCACTTTTATGTATTGCTGTGACTTATATATCGTGCATAGCTCAACTAAAACTGCATATGTTATAAAATGTACTTAATACAGCAATCCAAAAGGCATCCGCCGATACAAAGGCACAGATACAAACCCAAAAGGCACAGATACAAATAACAATTGTTGTTGTTATTCTTTAGACAATAATTTAGTGTTCTCATTGTTTACTTAAATAATAACAGTAAGTTCCTCTTGCAAAGTGTTTATAATCTTGCAAAAATTAAGTACATATTTTGTTTTCTGCACACACTAATCCTGTTGGTGTCAATATGCAGAGTCGGAAGTAGAGGTGTAAGACTGTTAGGATGAAATGACAATAAAATGGGAAGAAAATGGAGATAACATGTACAGTGATGAAATGGAGGCTGTGTCTCATAGCTTCTACTTTTCAAGTTAGTATCAAAATTATAGTGAATTAATTCATTGTACATATGTTACTTTTCAGTTTAATAAAAGAGGAGACTGCTCACTTTCTGCTAAAAATGAACTATTTCAAACTAGGAATGATGCTACATCTCTTGAGGGTATAGGTGAGGTGCCCAGTGTCCTCCTCGAGTTTTCTTGTCCAGGACAACCCTTCTCGGTAAGGCACCTTGGTGCGCCAGGGAGCCCCAGTGCAGCAGGACTGGGCTACGGGCTAGTGTGTTTGAAGCTTAGGTACCTGAGGAATAGGCACACATTTCTCAGTAACTTCCATGAGTTACTCCCAAAGTAACTCCTTTTTCTTTGCAGGGGGAGAGAATTGGGGCATTTAAAAAAAAAAAAAAAGATTTCTTAATATAGAGTTGGAATCCTTGGAAGAAGTAGACAGTTTTTGCAAGGAATAAAATAAAAATTATTGAGCCCTATTTTCTGTTGAGAGACAGGGTGATTTTCATCCATTCTGATATACTAGTCATGCATAGAGAAGGCAAAGAAAGAAAAAGCCTACTTGTGATTTTTTTCCCTCAGGTAAATGGAGTTACTGTTGACTGGCACACCCCTTTGTTCAATGCTTGTGTCAGTGGCAGTGTGGCTTGCTTGAATTTATTGCTGCAGCATGGAGCCAGTCTGCACCCACCCTGTGACCTAGCATCCCCTATCCACGAAGCTGCTAAGAGAGGTAACGCTGCGGGTGTCATCAATCCTTTCCATGTTACTAGCCAGAGGCTGAAGTGGAAAAGAGAGAGAAACAATTGTTCACTTGACTTAGGTCCTGTAAAATCCCCCTGTGTCTGGCCTCATCATGAGTGATGCAGCTCCTGCTGCCCTGATGTTCACTGAGGGCAGCTCGGCTCAGTGTGCGTGGCCTCTGTGTTCACTTGGTGACACCTGGAATGGGATTCATCGTCCAGACGAGCTGTCTGTCATGGAGGCATCTGAGAAAGTTGTCTGGCTACCTGTATAAGCAACAAGGAGAAACAGGGCATGATTCATCTCATCTTAGGTAGACATCTGAAATGAGTCAGATAAAATGTAAGAACCTGATCTGGTTTTAACTGTGGCTTTGCAGCTCCTGTTTTCCAGGTTGAAAACATTGCAGTAAGAGGAGTGAATACAGTATTACATTACCATCTTGACAAAATAGTGATTCTTTCCAGATTACCCTGCTGCAGTAGAAAATTTGGACTGTCGGAAAATGTCTAATATCTGTGATTTGAGCTTCCTTTTTCCATTTTAAGGTCATGAGCAATGTGTTGAATTCCTCGTGTCCCGTGGAGTAAATATAGATCACGACATCAAACATCTGGGTACTCCACTTTATGTAGCTTGTGAAAACCAGCAAGTAAACTGTGCTAAGAAGTTTCTTGAGTCAGGTAAAAAGAAAAATATGGGATGGTGTATTTTTTTGTTTCTATAACATCTGTTTTTGGATTCTTGTCTCATCACAGGTTCAGAGGTGCTCCTGCTCTGAAATCTTGGGGTGTTTCATTCTTGAGGGCAGGTCTGGGTTACTTAGGGTGGCACGGTGATAGGAGTCCTCTTGACTGAGGCGCTCAGCTACTCAGCTCTCAGTAAAACGAGGAATGATCCTGCATTTCACGCTACTGGTGGTGCTTAGAACAAACACAGTCTTTTCCGGTGTCTGTGTGTCATGCTGCAGTTATCTGAAGAGGGCAACAAGAAACTTCCTTCTTTCCTTGCTCCCCCTTGTCCCAAAAGAAAAGGTTCAATCCTTTTTACATGCTATTTCTGCAAATATGTTTTTAATTCCCACTTATTTCATAAAAAGTTTGAAACATGTCCAACACAGAAAAACATTGAGCATTATATTCTTAGCATCAAACAAACCTAGCTATAAGACTAAGCACTCAGATAATCATATGAGGCCGTTCCTTGTTATCTACAGCAATGCATCACTTCTCTCCAAAATGGTCATATAATATAATGTAGCTACACAAATATTACAAAAATGGTGGTACAAGAAACCCACTTTGAAAAGAAAAAAGAAAAAAAAAATGCTTTGAGTGTTGGGCCATGATTTTCTATTTTCTGCCATTTGGTGTTTTTGCTGCCTTCTCTGTATGAGAATGTGCACTTAAGAAACAAAAATAGTTCTGAACTGGTTCTGCAGCTCACCCTCCTTGTGTTTTATGGGCTGTTAGCCCTGAATAATGGGCTGGGAAACACCGATTAGCAAGTGCTTATATCCTCCTCCACAAAGCTCTTCTAGAACTTCTCCATCCTCACCTACCCA